AAAAAAAAATCATTTAAAAGTGTAGGGACTTCACTGATCCCATAATCTCAGTAACTGCACAGCTCTTTGCAAGCTTTGCTTGCATATTAAAGAATTTTCAGTACAAACAGATTGTCCTCTGTGTCACTAAATCTATGTGGGATTCTTATCTGGATTCTTATCTGCTCAATCTTCACAAAACATTTCTCAATGTGCACTTAAATTGAGAGGTGAAATGTGTTTACAGCTTCTGAAACTTCAATTGTATGTGAAACTCAGCTGTTGCATGCTTGTGGAGACCTTTGCTTCACAAATTTTTGCTACAACATGAAGAAAACCCTTGAGAAGTCCTTACTTGACGCCTATGGGTTGTCAAATGTGAACAACTCATCCAACTTTGGCAAAGGACATGATTCTGCATCTTCTATTGCAGATAGAGTGAAAAGATGGAAATCAAACATAGTGTTTTATGAGCCCTTAAACATCAAGAAAAGGCCTGTGTTTGAAGCAGTTCAAAAAGAAAATAACCTCATTCCATTCATGTTTCATTTACAGAGGATGAAAGAAAAGCAAAGGAAAAGAGCAATAAGATTCCTGTTCCTACAAGATGAATGAATGGCAGAAATTCCCCATTGGTCCATAGACTCCATTAGCCCAATAGTTAGATTATGTGCTCTGAACTTTGTATGAAAGGTATTTATTTTTTTGTTACTTTTTGATGGCAAGTTTTAACCAGTTCTTGCACAGAGCAATATAGCACTGAACAGTTCAGCACCATACACCTATGTAAGCATCAGCATATTTTTTGTTTGTTTCAGTTGGGTAAATATCAAGGTGTAAACTGTGGTTTTATCATGAAACACTTTAATTTATCTTTGTTTGTGGGTATGCTGGAGCAGAAAAAAACCCTGTGAAATCCTCTGTTTCTCTAGCTCCCTAATTCTTCTGATATTGGGGCAAGATTGTAGCTACTCTCAAATATAAAGGTGTAAATATGTGACGATTTTACACTGTGTTTATTTTTCTAGTTGCACTTTTGCATTCTCTGCAAAAGTCAATCAGAAAGCTGAGTGAAAAGTGGCCTGGTAGCTGGATAAAATATTTTGTAATGCATGGCCCATATACAGGTACATTAAAATGTATAAGGTAGTTTCCCTTCAATCCCTATAAAGGTGAAGACAGAAGTTGTTTGACTTTATAGTCAAACTTTAGCAGTGTAGGTAAAGCAGAACAGCTGACTAGAGTGCTAAGAAAAGCATCTTAATGTTTTCTTCCTTCTGAATCTCATGCTTTTAGAGCTCAGATCTCTTCTAGCTCAGGTGAAAGGAAGCTTAGTCGGGAAATTTTCAAAAGAGAAGAAACTCCGAAAGTGTGTTCTTCATAGTCAGTACCCCAAATGAGGGATCCTATGTGAATTGTGAATGTCGTCTGAATCTCAAACCGAACTTCCTCGGGGTCAAGCAGGTTGTTTGGCTATTTTTGATCTGGTCTGCTTCAGAACTGTTTCACTGTCTTACAGCTTCTGTAAAGATTACAAGCTTGGACTTGCAAACTCTGAAGTACAGATTCAGGACCTCTACAAAGTCTGTTTTTAATAAGAAACAGGAATAGTTTTGAGTTTATAAGCTTAGGTCCAGACTAATATGCAGTCATTCAAAGTTTGAGGGAGGGGAAGGTGGTACAAAATTCCATTTTGTTCCTAGTTTGTCAGCTGTCTGGCCCAGGACAGAAAACAAAATTAAAGAATATCTGACTCTCATTAATGTCCAGTGGAAACTTGCGGGGATCTGCTTGGTTAGGTAATTATTTTTATACATAGACATGAACTCAGAGTATTATACATGCTGATGCTTAATGCAGTCTAATTTCTACCATGAATGAAGGGTGAAACTCTGTAATAATAATTACAGTATTATTCCTATTCTTACTTATCTGTGTTATTACTACAGCATTGTTCCTAGTGTGTCCCGCTATATAAATTCCCTCCTCTATCACAGGCAGCTGATACTTTTACCTTGCTCTTAATATAGAAGGTGGACACAAGACATCCAAAGATTTTATTGTTAATGAGGGCTGACTCAGGCTACTAGCCCAAAACAGGAAGCTGCTGTTCATCTGCATAGTCTCTGTGGCAGGCTGACAAGTGACAAGAAATAGCTGAAGAGCTTCAGCTCTGCTCTATCCTTCTTACTGTGCAGGAGTACAGATGCATGGTAGGTTACACAGGCAAGGGATAAATCGCTACTAATTCAGAAGAAAAAGATCCTGCACAGGACAGCTTCCAATTTATATCTTTCTAAGAACTCTAATTAAACTCACTGTATGAACACCTATTAAAAACAGTGCTCCATAATGCCAGGTCTGAGGTTTTTCTGAAACAAGATCATTCCTAGGGTTTTTGGGTTTTTTTCTTCAGAAGTCTTTAATCTTGACTCTAATTGTCTCAATGAAAAGTTTGAAATACTTTGTAAACTCCTGGTTTGGGGATAAGAGCACTCTGTTGGTCTGACATCAAAGTGAATCAATGAACTAGCTGTGCATTTCTATCCACTGCTTTAGCCATATATTCTTTTACAAGTGTCTAGAAGCTGTCACCCTGCTATGCTGTGATTAAAATAATTGGACATAGTTCCCACTTCTGTTATTCCCATATGATGTTGCTGCTGGTGAAGAATACTCAACATTGATGGCTCCAAAGGCAGGTTTGAAACTTCAAAAGCCGAGTGTTCTCACGTGCTGAGCTGTGTGTTTCTCCAAGGAAATCTGCAGAGAGCTTCACCATGTATAAAAGAGCAGCCAGACATAAGACCATTCCCCCAAATGAATGATATGCAGAAAGAAGGTACATTCAAAGATCTAAATAGTGAGTAACTCAGTACTCAAGCTGGGAATCAGGAAAACCAAATAATTCTGGAGGACTTGAAGGCTGTATAGAAATAAGGAGATAGAAAATGAAATTATGAATCCAGTGAAGAAAGACATTTAATAATTTGTGAATACTGAGTCACCTGACCTTACAATTTTTGTTTGTCACTTGACGCGGGAATTTACAATAGTCCTGTAGGTTTGCACATGTAAACATGCTGGGTTTGCTACAGCTTAGTAAAATTTCTACTCTGTGATAAACTACATTTCAGCAAAATTATGTCCTGACCTGGCAAGAACCTAGGGGTGGGGAAATTGCTGAGAATCCTATCTGCTTCATCCTTCTGCTTTTACAGGCAAGCAACCTTCAGGGAAGTTCACAGACATTCAACAAACCCGAAATTTTTACATGTTACAAGGGTACAAGATGAGCCCTGGACACTATGTGTTGATAGCATATAGATACCACATTTGGTTCTTGGCCAAAATAACAAAAGTGTGGAAATTTCGGTTTCTCGTTTAAAAAAAAAGAGCTCTCTAGCTCCAAGTATCTGTTTAATGATGTTGGATCTACAATGTTTTTATCAAACTGTGGCTGACAAATAGCACTGCTCTAAACTGATGTTTTCATTTTATTTTCACTGGGACAAAATTTATTCTAGCTCCTGAACAGGAAAGATACAAAGGCAGCCTGACAGTCAACAACAACTCTATCTGATCCTACCACATCAGAGAACAACCTCAGAGATGGGATCTCCTGACACTGCTGCAGAGATGGAGAGTTTGAACTGGTTTTTGCAGCTGGAGATGTCTAGCAGACCTTCCTCTGGTTAAGGAAAATTTCAGCAAGCAGAATTGCCAAAGACATGTCTTCCTCAGCATTATATTTTATGTTTTTAATTTTGCAGCGTTATCCATGGCAGTATCCTCCACACTGTTCTTGCTACTGTACTTTTCATGTCCGCACAATGGTACCATAACCAGCTGACAGTGCAAGCTCTGTTAAAGAAGTTTATTCTGATCACTAACTGTATCACCAGCATTATAGGAAGACAAGTAGTAAGTGATTTACTTAAAAGTTTAAAGATATATTCCTTCACCTCATGTTATTTTTCTAAATCCCACATCCCATTTTGAAACATAAATGAGAATGTTTGAGTTGGCCAAGTTTTTTCCAGTGGCAATTCAGAATACATTGCAAGACAGGCAGTCACTGCAGTCAAGCAAGCATCAAATATCCTTCCTTCTTCTAGGTTATTGAAAAATAAATCCATTGACTGAATAAAGGGGAAAAACCTTTGAGTGCCTGCAGCTGTACTGACTTTTTGATTGTTCATTTGTACTGTAACACAGCCAATGTCTGTCCAAGGCCAGGCAAAGAGCAAAGGGCTCATTCCCAGAACGTCATATGCAAAACCTGTAAATAGGGGTGGTAAGACTGAGGTAGGTAATCATTAGGATTGTGCAAGACAGAGATAAGTCAGCAAGCAACTTCTTTCCAAAACAAAGCAGAAAATTACAGCTTTTACTAGAAATGTAAGGATTTTTTTTTTTCTCTTGGCATGCTTGTCTGCATGGTAAAAATCCAGCAGATTTCTCTTCCACTTCTTCTCTTCTACTTTCCGTTGCGCTGGCTGTCAGGGAAGCCAGTAGCACAATAAGAGTTTCATTGTGTACTATTCAGCTAATGGTGTTGGTAAGTAAAGTTCTCTCTTGCTGTGAAAATATTTGACCATACTGAGGCCATACAACCCTTGCAAGTGCAAACATGCGGGATAGAAAGGACTTTTGTAGACTGCCCTACTGGAGCATGGCAAGCTGATGAGGGGTACTGTTAGCAGGATGTAATCTGTCGGTTTAATAGCATTCTGACCTGAGTGTTCTCTGTATAAATGTAATATCTGCTTTTGAGGAGCAATTTCCCTAGTATTTGACATCAATAGGGCTGTCCTGTGCTGACAGACTCTCAGGTTATGGGGCTAATGACTCAGAGTTGTCACCTCTGAGACTAGGTCTGGAACAAGAACTCCCTAGTGCCTCTTCCAGAATCCCTTCCTTGCTGTTACCTCCATTGGGTGAATCATGTACTAAAGCAAGTTTTATGGAGGAACAAAAGTATTACCTGAGATCTATATCTTTAAATAGGACTTCCAGAACTAGCTACCTCCTAAATATAAACATTTCATGGCATTTTTCAAGATCTAATTCTGAACTTTCTGCTGAGAAAGTCTGCAGTTATCACAGAATCACAGAATGGTAGGCATCGGAAGGGACCTCAGGAGATCATCTAGTCCAACCCCTCTGCCAAAGCACGTTCCC